GTAATTGTTGACCACCCGGCAAGCTTCTCTTCGATATAGTTTATGGTTGATGTTATACCGATATTTGATTAACTAAGAAATGGAACAATGAACATTGAATACAAAAATGAGAATAGTTTAATCGCAGGATATAACAGTCGGAGATGTGACTGTCAAGTGGATTTCGAATCACAACAAAGCTTAGTTGGCTAAGGTAAAACATCGCTTTAAGAGATTTAAATCCTGCACATAGGTCTACGGCGCCATTTAATCGACTTAGCGTTAGGTTAAGTGGATTTCGTAAGACTTCTGATTATTCTGCATGTGATGTAGCCTTTCAACACACCGTAATATTAGCTACGTGCTTCTGGAAGTATTCCAAAATGATATTATAATAAGACTAACGGAAATTTTGATTTGAGAAGCATCAGCAATTCAACTACCATGCAGAGCGTAGTCTGTACGTCATCGCCTCGCCGCTGCGTTGTCGCCGCCTCGTCGCAGCGGTCGCTGTAATGAATTAAAATAGAACATCAACCTACGGTAACATCCCGTGTCGTCACATCCTGTGTCCGGCCAGCTGAGCGCCGGCAGCTCGTCGGCCGCTCGTCCCCCGGTCGTCGGCACCCCGTCGCCCGCACGTCGCCCGCACGTCTGGCACGTACGCAATGTCAGTGAAAGTCAAACACCGGCGCGTATTGTTTGCTGGTCTCAATGGATCTGACGCGGCTTCATACAGCCACATCCGATTAGCGGAATTATAATTATACTAGACTAAACTTCAAATCATACAAAACGCTTACAAGGAGGCTCCTTCTCAAGATTGAGGTCTGTTGTGTCATCCATATTACGGATGAGTCAAGCCAAGTGATAAACGCCAATTCTATTACATATTTTTCAAAGTACTTAATGTATTTTGCAACCTTAAGTGAATAAATTAAAAACAATCTCCCTCTGGCATACTTTTAAAACATAACCTATTGTATGACAGATGACAATGGTAGCAACATCCTCTAGATTATTATTTTAACAGTGCAGTCGTGATTTATTTAAGAATAGACACAGCAAGTTGATGTCGCGATATGTATTGATTTTAACAATGGCAAAGACAGATGTAAGCGGTGGTGCAAGTCATAACACTATGGCATTGAAATAATTAAAATCTATATTATAAATAAGACCATTTTCAAAAATGCTACTAAATCTAGTATAGTATGCAAGTTTGTTAGCATTATTACAAAAAATAAAAATATTGAACTTCGTATTTAAACAGCATATTTGAAGACAGTATACATTAATTTGGATTAACCATTTAAAATACTTATTAATGTAAGTAAAATAATTAACTTTTTTTTACAATCTGCATATAACTTGTACCATGTAATATCTATGAGTCATGGTGTAACGTCTGGTCGCGCAGACGTCAGCCGTGTGGAAGTGCCTCTGGCTCGTAATGCCGGAGTATCCGCAGAGCTCGTGCTCCGCATCTCAATGATGCTCGGAATACCTCGTCACACCTCGGAACATCTCGGGACACCTCTCCTCATGAAGGAATTGTAATAGATATACACCAAGGTTGTTGATTAATATTGATGGAGTGTTTAAAATAATCTGTATCTATGATCATATTTTAAACAGCTTCCGTTAAGTATTTTATTGCTTTGACAATTTTGTCGGACATCTTTTTTAGGATAAATCAATTTAAATGACGCTGGACCGGTCACATGAGAGACACAAAAAGGAAATGGAGTAGAGCCGTGACAATAGTACTCCAGAGGCGGTGAAAGGAATGGTCGTCAACTTCTAAGATGAGAAGATGACGTAAAGATCACAGCCGGCTCGAATTGGAGGCGAATTGCCTACAGATATCAATGGAAATGTTTAAAATGTCAAGAAGCACAGAGAAACTAGAGATATGTTGTGAACTTTGTACATTAAAACTCTGTAATTCTTGAATGATTTCAGAATAAAAGGGCTATATTATTATAATAATTTATTGCTGTAGTTAAGAGTATAAAAAAGCCAGATTACGTAAGCAATAAGCATGTTGCATTCTTAGTTTAAACTGTCATTAAGTAACAATTACTTACTCATCTACTAAAAACATAGCTAGAACATATTCATATCAAATCACATTGTTCTTTACAATTATAACAGTCACGTCTCACACTGGTCTATCTGGCAATACGTGTGACCTTCGTCCGAGTGAATCTGATCGATGGGCATTGTGCATTCGAAGGCGATTGTAAAATAACGTATGTATCTCAAAACAATCGGAATAGGTAAACACGGCGGATAGCTTCAAGGTAATGTGGATGAAGACTACATTAATGTACTTAATATTGCAAGTATTAAATGAGTAATTTTAAACACAAATGATCATCTCGCTCTGCTTTTCTCTGTTAAGGGTAGCACAGTATGAACTACATAACTCTATCTTTACTTGTAAAAGTCGGATTTTATCCTTATAAATATAATATTACACACATAAGTATATTTTATACTACTCGTACATAAATCAGCGTACGCTATTCTTTTAATTAGTCGTCAATAAAACTGGAAACTGTGTCGAAGAGATTTTTCAAGCGAATTCAGTTACCCGGTCGTTAACCCCGCTGCTCAACAGCGCCAGCATGGCTCCCAGCAAACTCCCCGACTTGGCTCAGATCCAATACGATCCCATGGGATTGTGCCATTTTAATATATCTTCTATACGATAAGACTTCTCTATTCATAATTTACTTCGTGACATACTAACTTGTGATTTATTCAAAACTATCTCCGACTGACGACATTACATAACTTTGAACGTAAAAAATACACTTCTGACTGTTTTTTTACGGAATATGACCTAAAAATTGTAGTGCCTTTGATGTCGTTAAAATTATGCTAAGCACGATTATACCTTACTTACGACAATAATGTTGTTATTTGTATGTTTTTAAGTTTTACATTAGTCTAAAGCAAAGTATCGTATAAATCCTTAATAATATAATTCCTTTAAGGTTGACGTGCTAAAGATTTAGTTCTCCAGATATCTCATTATAAAATAGGTCCATTTTTACGCGCACGCGTGTGCTTCGACTCAAAAAACGTTTCAATTATAACGGTCTCAACAGAAATACACTTAATGAGTACTTTAAGATACTTTTTATATATTTAATTACATCCATTAGCACTTCCTAATGTTTGATGAATGATACAACAAAGACTTCATTATAACTTGATAGTAATAATTGCTCTCAAGTTAACGATCACCAAATTATATGAAGAGCACGCGCACACCTTTGACTAAACTATCGCACAACTGTTGTGCTGATTGTCGATTGTTTCGCAGCCAATTCAACTGTTTAGTTCCACAACTAAAAATCTATTACTATGCACCTCTGTATAAACTCATAGGATGACTCATATAACCTATATCGCTTAGATAAGCGAGACTAAACCGTTATGCGATATTTTAGTTTCAAGTGTGCGCACGCTCTTATACTGAAAAACATTTTTTTTATCAACTTAATGTAAGTTTTTATTGTTAAATTGATATCATTATACCGATTTAAAAGCTGAAACTTTCATTTAATGTCGAATTGTGAATCACGTCTTTGCACAATGGAAACAACTCAAACTTCAGCATAATTTGTTTTTAAATCATTTCCATTTTGGGAATATTTGATATGCGTGTTATCCATTTTACCTGTATATTTTTTACTGTTGCTATCATTTCGCGAGGTAGTCCGCGGCAGTAAGGCAAGCACGTACCGCCATTCCTGGAAGGATTCTTTGTGCCTTGCACACGGCCACCAAATAATCATTACAACTATGTGGATATTCAAAGAACTGTTTAAATTTTACTAAAAATATTTATTTCACGTACCAAACATTACTTATGCGTCTGGAACAAAACCATTCTAATGCATGTATTTTGTCAAAGGAATTTACCCCAGAAAGAGTATGAAATTCCATCGTAAACGAAATGCGGATATCGGAAAAACCGTGCGACGTAAAACATAAGATACGAGCAAGGACTCGCAAGGCCGTTACATTACGTACTTTGTCTCAATACAAGTTGCGATATTGATTGTGTAAAATTAATGAACGCTCAGTGTCGTTAGAGTTTATTTAGAAATCAAACCTAAACCAAGATGTGTACAACAAACAGTGGAACATGAGTCGTGTTGTTATACACTGTTAAATAGTAAATAACCTCGTGTTATGAATAGACGGTCAACAACAACAACATCTAATCTTCGCCAAACAAAAGACAATCGGCTAATTGTCCGCCGCTGATCAAAACTATATTGAATAGACGAGGACTGGCTCCGCGTGACCTTTCTAATGCAATAACAGCCGGTGACAATGCAGCCTGCCGGGACACGGGGGAGGGGGGACAAAGGACCGTCACCACGCAAGCACGCAGCCACGCAGACAAAGCGGCGTGTTTAACTTAGGCCAGGCCGCTGAATCACACATTCCTATATGCATTACGGAAAAACTAGAGTACTAGTGCAATGTTACGACAGACCCGATCACAGTAGTACTTGTAATAAACAGGTTCTATCTCGATGTTGTGATCAAAAGGTTAATAATATAATCGTAATAAACAACTGTAAAGAGGTTCTATTCCTATATTTTATCAACGACAAATGATGGAAAAGCTGATTCGTAAGGGTATCTAGGGACGAACCATCCTAACGATTTAAGCGCCTAAAATACACGAGTACTACTTGTAATTCGAATATCGTATAATCGATAAAAGCTACTGAGTTAAAGGGACAATGATGACGCGATAAACCTTTTATGGTTTGCTTTGTTACTCTCTGTACTTATGATTTTATTGTTTAAACACGATTAAAAACTGTTACTCAAGAACATGACAATCAAGACTTTAACTTTTTACTTGTCTTCAAAATGCAAAAAAAAATTAATTTCACCAAATTCCACTGGGGTACTTGGTAACATATATTTTTTGTGTCGCTTATCTCTCATTGTGTTATTATAATGTAAGTTGTATGTGTGTGCAGTGCGAAGAAACGATGTCTGCGGGAGACATGTGCGTGACCGCGGCACGAGCAGGCCCCGCGGCTCGTTGGCACCCCGGCTGCTTCGTCTGCACATCCTGCCAGGAGCTGCTCGTCGACCTCGTATACTTCTGGAGGGAGGGCCGCCTCTATTGCGGCAGACACCACGCCGAGACACTCAAGCCGAGGTGTTCAGCATGCGACGAGGTAAGTAATGTTCTCATTCTTTTTGTCAAGTTAAGCAGTATTCTATACATCTGTTTCAAAGCCACCATAGACTAAAGACTTCTTGTTAACCAATAGTATAGTCGGGCGTTTAATTAGTGTGAACATGGAGGTGCGCATATTTTACCGATTTGATTTTGGCTTGACAGTCCTAAACGACCATAGTCTGTGGGGTTTCTTAAGAGTTATGTGGATAGATGACATCTCGCAATAGTCTTTCTAAATTCTAGGAAACGCTTCAATTTGTTGCTGTTGCTATGCTACGCAACTCAAGTATAAAGTCAGCGCATGTCAAGACATCGTTTCCTTACAATACATAATAAAAATACGTTGCACAATAGGCAGTGAAATTAAGCTGAGGTCGTTGCCCCCGCCAGTTGCTGGGTAATAAATCAAGCGGTCTTATCGAATCGGAGCGGAATGAGGGTTCGGAGGGCTCGGAGGCTTCGCGGGTGAACCCCGGCCTCAAACCGACGACACAATTACCTCAATAGGGTTCAAATTAAACGGTCCCCTTTGTATTATTTAAATACATGTAAACGTAGCGATGTAAATTGCTTTTCAATGTATCTGAATATGGATTTAAATTACTGATTTAATCTGTGATGCTTGTTTGTTGTGTTGTATTATAATTAATAAAAAATACTCTTAAATACAACAAAAACATGTATTGGTATTCCATTTACTTTATACAAATTAACATCAAAAACAAAACAAGGACGTACAAATTGCTATATACGAAGATCGAAGTTCGAAAAACATTTTGTAACGCAAGATGCAAACTGCATTTCCATTCGTCAAATATTACCCGTAACATCCGTTGCAGCGGACGAGGTAATTGGCAACACTGGGCCAATATCCGGCGACGACCGGAACCGATGCTATCTCACCCCCACAGCAAAGGGGGTGATAGAGAGATTACACCGCGCGTGTCACGACGCAAAGTGTTCCTGAATGGCCCTCATTATGCTAATTTTGCTGTATTTGCGGTCGGCGTTATTGAATTTTGTATTTTTAAATTAGTACCTTACAAATTTGCTGCACTTTTAAAACATAACCTTTGAATTACTCCGCCGATATCTTAATTTTATGCGAGTGCTAAAACTAATTGTTTTGTTAATAATTACATCATGATTTACCCTGGGAAATTAGCCGGAGCTCATCGCAATAATGTCTATACTTCGTGTGAGATGTAAGACGCCCGAGGGGTGTGTGCGGGGCGCGGGGAGCGTTCGCATGTCGATACATTGATAAGCTCTAAATCTTAACGTCCGTGTGTCACGCGACCGCCGCTGGTTAACTTTTCTAATGTACCCTTTTACATTTATCGACTTGTAATAATAACTTTCATATAGATGTCTGTGAAAATTGCCAAGAAACTGCAACTTAAATTGTAGTATAAAATACAATTACGTAAAAAAATAAAGCTTTAAAACCTTATCTTTTCAAATGCTTATAATCTGGATTAGTCAGTTAGCGAGTGGTAGCGACCTCTAGCGAGCAAGGCCGGCGCAGCGGAAATGCAGTGGCTGCTCCGCGTCTACGATGCAGTGGGGTTATAGAAATGTGCAATGTAGACCAGTACACTACATTCAACCAACAAATATAATAATTAAAAATTAATATATATATAATAATTTCAAATTATCTAGGATATTCTGTTTAATTGATGGTGTTTTTATTACCTTGTAACTTCAAATGATTTTGAATTGTAATCCAAACAAAGTATCTATAGTAAATTCAAGCCGTCTCAGGTGTTCACCAGAATTCTCGCATTCAATAAAGGTTTGTTCGCAGTGCAGACACCGGCTGCGGCAATTACCGACAACTGACGAGGTCATATCGCTTTGCCTGCAATTATCTAACATTATCGTTCTATTTCTTAATTCAGATGCGAACAGTTTAAATAAAAACTGGACTGACTCGATAACACGTTTAAAAGGTTTTGCAATTTATTTAATCTATTCCACTTGTCGCTTGAAGTACTACGACCTCATAGTTAACATGTTCAAAGCTTATATTTATTTATATACAAACTAGCTGTTCCCATGCGACTTCATCCGCATAAAATAAAAAAAATCATTATTGTTCACTTTTGTCAAATTATCAATTGCAAATGTCAAAATGACATGACATGATGTCAAACCATGGCAATCTTGCTTCCTTGATGTTGGCAACAACTTATAGTCTCTTTCCCACATTAGGGTTTTTATCCAAAATTTTAACCCCCAAGTTTAACGGCATTAAAATATATAGCCTAAAGCGTGACGTTAGTGTAGGGCTTTTTATTAAAAGAAGAGTTATTCGATAATATGCTGTGATTTCTGACATCTTAGGAAACAAAGAAGTGTGTGTTTACGCTTTATTATAATAGTATAGATAGTATAGATATAGATATAGTCTGCATTTTGTGTTAACAGAAACAATGACTGTTACTTACGGTAATATTTAAAACATGTTACGCAAATATAAGCTGATATAAAACTGTCGTAAGACAAGTGGCAGTGAGTCAGGCAAAGGCTAGCTCATACAGCCACGTGCTAATGTTTTGACTGCGTTGTCTTTGCCTACATTGCGTAACTTTTGCAATCCGGATAATAAGATAGTATATGTCTGCTAACAGTTCAAAACTGAAATTAAAAATTTCTCAAATCATCTATTTTTAATGACCGTTTGTTTAACTGAAACTTTTATTTCCTTGTTCTTAATTTCAAAACGTTTTCATGATAATGTTTCGAAAGCCGCCGGTGTCGGCCCGATGACCGCGCGACTCGCACGTCTACGTCTGCCTATATTTTTATGATCTATTGTATTTCAGTTTTATTATGTGCCAGCCATTTTAATAATCTACAAAACAGTTAAACATAATAATTTTATATATTTTATATTACTGAATCGTTTAGTGGTTTCTAGTCTTTAACCTGACTTTTACCTTTTAACAACCGCATTATTATTCTTGAACGCTGTATACACACATAAAAGAAAACACTTAGAATATGTTAAGCAAAACGCTTTAAAACAAGTATTATTATTTTTAAACGCAACAATACGATTTTAAATTAAAACAACAAATAAAACAAATGGATGCGATCTAGGATAAGCAAATATTTTTTATCTGTTTCCGTACTCGCGGCCTAGTTTCCCGCGCAAAGGTCACTGACATGTACTAGGTGTTCAGAACTCTGTCAGAGGTAACATCAGCATGGGAGTGCGGCCTATCTGCGTAGCTGCATCTAGCTGGTATTGTCTACACTCGGTCTAGATTGCAAGACGATTGCGAAGTCGCGGAATGCCTCCGCGCTGTTTGTTGATTTCTCAACACTAGAGAATAATTAAAACCTTTTCCTTCTGTTTACTACAACAAACGATTACTCATCAAGAAGATGTAAACTTTCGTCCTTAACTGATTCAGAGTTAGGACGATGTAGTCTGTGTACAAAGGCAGACACGTGATGTTATAGTCTTTCAACCGATTTGGACCGGCGATTGATCAAGTAATAACGTTACTAGAATTTGTTGATAATTTATTAATAATGTATATCCCCTCGTCCTCAGACGGCCATTCCTCCTCTCGGAGTATTTAACGACGCGGAGGTACCGTTTCAAAATATTAATAATGAGCATGTTGTCTGCTAATGAACGAAGCTCGTGTGGGAACATTTCTCGCGCATTGTCCGCGCGCTGCTGTCCCTCGCCGCTGTACCCCGCCGCTGTGCCCCGCCGCTGTGCCCCGCCGCTGTGCCCCGCTGCGGCGGCGGCGAGCGCTATCGCCGGCGATACAATTATGTTCTTTATCGCGATAATTAATTACACGTAACCGAGGATTGTGCAATCCGAAGTCGGCCACGTGTGTCCTCAACTTTACCCGAGATCTTCAAGTTTTATACACCAGTCGTTATGCAACACCGCGTCCATACCTTCCTATCATTACCTCGAAGTCATTTGAATTAAACCATAGACTGTTACTCTCATGACTAATTCTATCGTTCCTGAATTAAAGGCACTCCTAAAGGGATGATCAAATGTCCTAGTTTATTAAGACGCGTGAGAGAGGTTGCTTGTCTGTCGAACGCGTCACCGATAAGAAGCATAAAAAGCGAAAATAATCAATCTAACACATGTTAACAAGTAGTGCAAACATAATGTTTAACATTTGTAGCCACTATCCGAGACTGCGTGGTTTCCGAATCAATTAGCACTCGCTCTAATATAAATATATCATCGGAAAGCATTTCTCGCTTTTAGCACCATTATAATGTTGCGAAATGTTGTCATTCACGATAGGGGTGTCAAAGCTACGGCCCGCGGAGCAAAGTTTCTAACAGTTTTATGTTAAAGTCAATTGTATTTTAATTCGATTGCGTACTCACATCTAACGAGGAGTGCGATAAGGCCTTGCTAAGGAATGCCGCTTACTGTCTAATATCATTAAATTGTGTGTGTTGTTGCGCAGATAATCCTGGCGGACGAGTGCACGGAGGCGGAGGGGCGCGCGTGGCACATGAAGCACTTC